GTTGTATTTGGTTGTGTAGTTTCCTGACTACAGTCACAACAAAATGAAAAAGGCCACTCAAGATTTGGTGGATTAACACCTATTAAATTGAAACCATAACAGATTTGGGTCATGTATTTATAAACATATTTTACACATTTTTATGCTATATATTATGCTTTCTTTATGCAATCATATGCATTTATTATATTATCTGTAGTGGAAATATAAACTTCCACTTTTCAGTGGGAATTCTGGCATTTCCTGTGACCCTTTACTCCTTGTACACAGTTTAGATCTGGATCTAGTCTAGACTGGACAACTGCTCACAGCACATGCTGATTTTTAGCCTTTCATTTTTGTTCTTGTGTGCTGTGATGACAGAATGTCTGTTTTTTTGTTTTGTTTTACTAGTGGATCATTTTGCCACCAGGAATGAATGTAGCAGGAAAGCACAAGTGTCTCCTCTCAGATCTATTCATCTGCAGTTCCGTGCTGACCTATTCTTGTCGGTGTCATCCAGTCTGGAATTTATTTGCTGCCAGAAAAACTTGATTTTAAATCCGTGCTCTTCTCAGATCTCTTGTGTTATTGGCTTTCCTTGGTTTGTGTATTTTTGTCAATGGTTGGAATGTTTATGTACGTCTTTAGTCATTTATAGACACTGTGGATCACAAGTAAAAAATTGTGGCTGGATTATGTTAAACAGCATATTTCTTTTTTACCTGTGACGAAATAAAAACAAGGTTTTGTGTGCTGTGCAAACAGATGCCTGCTCAAGGTATATGAACAAATTATTTTGCAATTTGATTGAGAAGGCGTTCCAGCAAAAGTTAGCAAAATCCTCAATGTCAATCTGAATATTGTGTTATGACATTGTTTCAAAATATTATACGACTTGGACTCCAGACATTTTTATTGATATCTGCAGTCTTTATTCTATCCTGGATCCATCGTGACTGACAACATCCAGCTCTGTCCTGCATAACCTCTTACGTTGCTATAAAATTTATAGACCTTTAACTGGCTCTTTTTAAAAAGAATTATTATTTAACATTTTACATAATACATAAACTAATAACATGTCAACAACAAATAAACCAAATTTCCGGAGTATAAAAAGGCATAACACTTAAAATATAAGTATATAAATAGGTATATATGGAGAGCTAGCCAATTCTTACTAAAGTTACCTTGAGATTACTTCCCTTCCTTTTCACCTGAATACAGTACTGCATCCATTGTAGCCCATAAATTAAACTTTTCATATTTATTCTTACAATTTGTGATCCACTTTTCTGAATCCATATTTTCATTAACCTGATGGACACAGTCCACTCTGAAGGAACCACATAACTTCCCCAACATCTTGGAATTAACCTTTTTGCGGCATTAAGAAAATGAGGCAAAGACATAGATTTATATTTGGCTATAGGGAAAGGCACTAAATGAAACAGAAAGGGGTAAAGGGTCAAGTTTCATCCAAAATAAAATGAGTTTGTTCTCATGTCCTGCCAAAAGGATTTTAACTTCAGGCAGTCCCACCAGACATGTAAATATGTACCTGGTAATCCGCTACCAGGTACATATTTTTTGTTAAATTATACTTAAAGAATATGGTCCCCAATACCACCTTATAGTAAGTTTCTTGCTATCTGGAATCTACAGAGGAAGTATGAAACCGCTCACAAATCTGTTTCGCTTGTGCGTCTGTTAGAGACCCCCATATCCCGCTCCCTAATAAAATGCATAGAGCCTTTTCCAGCTCACTTTAAGTAATCATTTGTACAACAGGCAGAGAGAGTGGCCAGGGTTCACTTGTGAATTACAAAGCTGTTCATAAAAAGTTAATGACTGAAGGAGTCTAAAAAAACGCAACGGGTTTCGTAACAAATTGCTAAGTTGTAAGTATCAGTTTTATATATTATATATATTTATATATATTAGTCAATCGGAAAAATACCCTATTTTTCCAACAGTGTGTCTAATGCAATAAGAGAATTATCTGACATAAATTTACATGTCTGGACGTCTCCATCTGCAGGCCGTGTCTGAAAATATGATAAATGTTCCCCTGGCATAAACCATTGAAAACCACCTATTGGCGTCAGGGGGGGGATATGTTTGGAACCAAATTCTGACTTTTATTAATTGTAACCCACACCTTCAAAGTATGTCTTGTGAGAGGGGACGTTATATAAACTATAAAGCAATAGCTTTCTAGTGCAGAGAGACATCTGGTACACCTAGGCCACAAGTTCGTTTAGTAGGTCTCAAGATATTATAGATAGCCGGGGCCTTCTATTATTCCATACAGATTGCAGAAATAAACTGCATATTTGACAGAAAAAAAGGGCGGCAATTTAATCGGAATTGACTGTAAAAGGAATAAGATCTTCGGTAAGACATTAATTTTCAGGATATGTATACGTCCTAGCCATGTAAACAGAGTTTTATCCCAGGAATGAAGGACTCCTGTAATTGCCTTCAAAATAGGTAGATAATTCAATTCAAACACTTGTTTCAAGGAATTTGGGAGCTGAATTCCCATATAACGAAAACGATGTCCAGGCAAAAGTATATGAAGTACACAAATTTGAAATAGCTTCAGGAGATAAATTTAACGACAAAAAAGTAAATAATATGGAAGTTGGAATAGGTAACGTATATGGTCAGTTCTTGAAGCAAATTAGGCAATTAAATCAGAGGTTGAGTTGAAGAAAATAAAATGTCATCGGCATATGCAGACGCTTTACACTCTAAATTGCCCATTACAATCCCATGTATATCTGGGTTATTTCTTATCCTAGCGAGAAAAGGTTCTAAGGTTAAGGCGCATAATAAAGCAGACATCCCTGTCTCGTTCCATTACGTATTTCAAACAGAAAAGACAATGAGCCATTGACTTTTACTCGAGCTTCCGTATTACTAGAGAGTGCCGATATCCAGCCTCCAGAAACACCCAGTCCACACTATCAAACATGTTCTCCGCATCAGTCGATAGTAAAAGACATGGAGGAGAGGCCAAGTCAGCTTCCTTCTAGTGGATTAAATGAAAAGCACGGATAGTGTTGTCTCTTAACTCTCTTCCTTATATAAAACCTGTTTGATCTGGGTGGACTAAGGTCGGGAAGAGAAATCCCGCTCTGTTGGCCAAACCTTTGCAATAATTTTCACATCTGTGTTAGAGAGAGATCGGTCTATAATTTTGAGGTAACGTGGGATCTTTACAGTCTTTATGGATCACTGAAATATGTGCTGATACAAATGAAGACGGCATAAATTCTCCTGAGGTAATAGTGTTAAAAAATCTACACATTGGGAGGCCTAGTAATAATAAAAACTTTTAAAAAACAGGCTTTTGTGAACCCATCGGGTCCCAAGCTTTTGCCGTTAGAGAGACCCTTAATGACATACTCTAACTCTTGGAACGATATTGGTCTGTCTAGATCTTCTGCTTACTGAGCTGACACGTTGCGGCAGCCCGCAGCAGTCACATAATCCCATATAGCTAAACGCTTTTGATCTATAGTTATTTGAGAGTCTCCTCCAGGTAAGTTATAAAACGCTGCATAATATTGCCCGAAGACCTCTGTGATCTTAGAAGTATGTTGGACCATTTCTCCTGAAGCTGTCTGAATTCTACCAGGTTTTTTTTCCTGTTCCTAAAATTTATGAGACCTAAACCTTAAGCGTTTACAAACTCGATCTTCAGTTGCTTTAGTCAAGGCCAGTCGCAAGGAGTCCATTGTCTGCTCATCTGCCAACAAACCGGTTCACTTATGAGCCAACTCTGCTACCTGTAACTTTTCCAGCAGGTTAGCTAGCTCCTTACGTCTGGCTCTATTCAAGCAAGAACTTGTGAAATCAGTCCCCCCGCCCTAATAACTGCCTGTGCACGGATCCCTTCCTGATCGGAACGGTACAGATGGGATGTCACCGCTGCGATGCAATGAACAAATAAACTGAAATGGCCGACCCCATGTCTGTCTTTTGGGAATCATATGTAAATGGACATGTTTTTGTTTACATCAGATATAACTGTAGATAACTGCCGCACTTCTTACTGAATGCCCCTTGTGCTGAAAGGTGGATGCTGAAGCAACTGCGGGTGGCGCCACTCATCAGTGTACATCAGAAATGTCACCAGCACACCAATGGATGTTGTCCAAAATAAAGTGTTGTTCATTCACGCATATTGTCACATCAAAAATGCAACGTTTCGGGGCCACACAGGGTCCTCTTCATCAGGCTTAACATGACTTGGTCATATTAAGCCTGATGAGGGGAACCCTGCGTGGCCCCAAAATGTTGCATTTTTGATGTGACAATATGCGTGAATAAATGGCGCTTTATTTTAGACATCATCCATTGGTGTGCTGGTGACATTTCTGATGTACACTGTTTACTTCAGATTACCCCCGATCTGGTACTATCAGATCTGTCGAAACAGAACACTGCTCCGTTGGTTTTTCCGGATCAGGCCGGAGTTGGACTGCCAGTGTGAAAGGGGCCTTAAGGGTCCATTTATAAAAGGATTTGCACAGCAATTGGTCCTGCAAAACTGCACATAAACTTTTTCTGTGTGAATTAAGCAGCTTTTGCCCATTAGTTGTCGGGCTGTTGTGTGAAGGGGGAAGAAAAATGTAATTTTCTCAAGATAGTTTCTCTTCTGATCGATTGTTCTTTATTATGTTCACTTAGGATTGAATGTCCTTTTGGGTATTCTTTCGTAGGATATTCCTAAAATGTTACATGCAGTGCTGCTTATATTTGCATAACACTGGTTGAAGCACTTTGTACATATTTCTCTTTGTAGTTCCTTTTTATGAGGTGTGTTATGTCCCATTTCTTTTAAAAATGTTAATACAATTAATCTTTAGCCTATTGGGAATCGTGCTTATATCTTGCATTGTCTTTACAGCCATTGTTATCTTCCATTTATAATTAATGCATTGTAATATAAAATGTATTACTGAATGTCTAACATTTTTTATTTTGTTGCTTTCTTTGATTGCCAGGCCAAGAACAAGGAGACGGGTGTCTTTGCAGCTGCCAAAGTTATAGACACAAAGAATGAGGAGGAGCTGGAAGACTATATGGTTGAAATAGAAATTTTGGCCACCTGTGACCACCCTAACATTGTTAAGCTGCTTGGGGCATTTTACTATGAGAACAAGCTTTGGGTAAGTAGACAGATTTACTGACTAGTATTTCAAGATTTTTTTATAATAAGAGGAAGCTTTTGAAGTGCTAAAAATTATATTTCGTTTGACACAAAAATTATATTCTCGAAATCAGCTAGCTCTGTCTTTGTCCCTGGTACAGCTTTACCGAAACTTGCTAAGAGGTGCATTGGCATGGATTTTAGTTTGGGACAAGGCAAATAATGCTATGCCATCTTAAGCCCAATTGAAGCTTCTGTTCAAATTGGCTAATAGTGCAAAGTCTTGGAGTTAGTTTTTTTTTTTTTAGAAAGCGGCCACATCCTAAGTAGAAAAGCCTGTCCCCTGCCAGCATTCTGCAGGAGAGACTCTGCTCTCTCTGCAGAGGTCTGAGACACCCTCTGCTTAGTCAGAGTTGAGTTCTCCAATCCTCAAATTTTATGCTCTCAGCTAATTGCAGAATTATGGGTCTGACTCAGCAGGGGACATATCGGACCTTAGGAAAGTAAAGCTGGCCATACACTGCTCAGCACTACTCTGTTTGGCAAGAGTCGATTTGGTCAAATGAGCCAGACTGAAAGTTGAACAGTCACAGTAGCCGGTCAGCTGCACTCACTGTTCAGGTGTATAGACAGCTGCAATAGGGAAGATTTCCCCATCAATGCTGCTTATTGTGGATGATGGAATTGAGCATTACTTCTTTCAGTCCCTGGGGGCTGAAAAAAATGTCTTGTGTATGGCCAGTTTAACACCATATCTTTCACACAAACAGGAAGTGTCAGTGCCAGTGTCCCATGTCATTGTGTTTTAGTTAGGAGGAAAACAAACAACATTTATTTCTTATTGGTACGATAATAATAACAATTACTATAGGTGCAAACAACAAATAATCTACCCATATGTGGTGTCTCCAGTGGGAGAATTTATTTTGGGTTGTTCTTTGGTGGAGGTCAAGGTAATGCAATAAAAAAATACAGCTAAAGTTTGATAATATAAAAAAATAATCAGGAGATATCCATGAACCTTTACCACAAAATGAAGGCCCAAATTGTCCATGTACAATTCACCTAAATACACTAAGCAGTTGCAGAGATATGCACATTTTTATTAACACATTCCAAGGTTGCAAAACTGGGCTCACGTGTTAAAAAAATTACTGCAGGAAAAAAACATATTTAAAATCTGCTGGAATACAAAGAGTTAAGTGCAACAAGGATTATGCCAGCTCTTGAAGCTCTCGTGACAGCTGCTGTATAGAAGACCGAAAAGTCTAGTGTGTCAGAGCCCCAGAAATAATGCTATACTATTGATGCTCAATAAAACCGCAAATTGTAAATTAAAGAGAGCTCTGGGGGGCATTCACCTTGTCGCGCTTAACTCCATGTATCCTAGCAGATTTTACATTTTTTCTTCCCCTAGAGTTCTTAAGGTTTTTTACCTTCCACATTAAAAGGAATAAGGGTCCTTTTTTTTTTTTTTCTTCTTAAAATGACACTAAACTCAGGAGTTAAATCTTAAGCCCTGGTTCACACCTAGGCGTTTTTGAGAAGTTTGAAATCCCATGATTTTCAATGGCCCAGGTTCACACCTGAGCAGAAAAACGTCTAGCAGGAAAAAGCCAAACGCCTGAAAAGATACAGGAGCTTCTTTGGGAAGTTAAAAGCACTTTTCCTCCCCATAGACTTCATTGGAAATGCATGTTGCACATTTTCGTGAGCGTTTTTGCGCGTTTGTATGCGCGTTCTCCCATTGGCCACGATAGTTTATGTGCTGCCAATTAATACGCGTGTCTTCATGTACGCGCGTTAAAACGCGCGTACAGATGTGCATAACACGCAAATAACCGCATGCTGCTAACGCGCAAAAACGGTGCCACCTAGGTGTGAACCAGGGCTAAAACAGCATTCAACTACCTTTTAACAATTTAAAAAAAAAAAAATGCAGCTTATTTGTGTATCACTCTGTTGAAGATCCTCAAATCATCTCTGAATTTGTGCTGACACTGTCCTTCCATCTGGAGGGTGGCTTCTTTTGTTCCCCATGGTCCCTGTGTGTTTTATAAAGTAGCCACCACTCCAAGCTCACTCCCATGATAGACTTTAATCACACTTTTAGTTTGCTAATATGTATTGTTACTGTAGTCTATCACAGGAGTGACCTTGGAGCGGTAGCTACTTTACAGCACACACAGGGACCATGGGGAACTAAAGTAGCCACCCCCCAGAAAGGAAGGACAGTGTTGGCACCAATTCAGAGATGATTTGAGGATCTGCAACTGAGTGATACACAAATAAGATACATTTTTGTTAATAGGGTACTTAAATGCATTTTTAAGATTTAATTCCGGAGTTCAATGTCACTTGAATTTAGTGGTTGTCTTTATTTTTTCCCACCGCATTGGCTTTTGCAAACATAAAATATAATGCAGTTTGGCAAAATGAACTGTAAGAGAAGCCGACACAGAATGAACATGCTGCAAGTAAGATGATTGAACTTCTGCTCGCAGACTTTAAGCTTCCCTCTGCCTAACTTGCATCTCCATAGACTCCTATGTTACGTGCACACTTTTTTCCCATGAATGTATTAGTGTATCTTTGTCCATGGCAAGAAAAACATGATTTGAACTCTAACTGACAGTGTGGAGAGCTGTGTAAACAGTGTGCATACAAGCATGCTTCTTTGGCATTACTGTTAACCCTTAGTGGTCTAACAGGAGTGTTTTCACGTGTATTGCTTATAAAACCTTTCTCTTTGTTTAATTTGATAATTCTTTATATCATTGTAAGCTAAATGTGCTGGACACTTGTGAAATGCTTTGAACTGAATGTAACCTTCTAATGTAACAATACCATACAAGGCTTTTTTTCCAAGGTTTTCTTGATGCTGTTTAAAAAAAGAAAAAAGGTGTCTTATGAAATGTGACAAGTTAATGTAAATCCACTTTTATAACTGTGTAGCCACACCCATTTATGTCAGAAATAATCTGCAGAAAGACAATCTCATTTCTAGAAAGTTCTTACTGTGCAGTCTGAAAAAGTTCCTATAAATATACAAAATAATTAAATGCGTCGGTTGTAATTTGCACAGAAATTGGTGCAGACACTATCCTTCCTTCTGGAGGGTGGCTACTTTTGTTCCTCATGGTCCCTGTGCGTGTTGTAATGGCGAACAAATGTAGCTACCCTTCAGAAAGATTGACTATATCAGCACCAATTCAGAGATAATTTGAGGATCTACAGCTGAGTGATACACAAATAAGATACAATTTTGTTAATAGTTACCAACATAGGCATGAAAAAGCTTGATAACCTACAATAAGCTGTTTTTCCTTAAAGGAGAACTATGGGGTTAAGGCTTTTCCCCGTAGTTCTCCTTAGGGTAACGGGAGGACACAAACTAGCGTCCTCCCGTCACCCTAGGCTCAGTAGTATACCGCGAGCTGCTGCGGTATGTGCTCGCGGTATACTGAGACGCCACAGCTGAAGCGGATCCCGACAATTGTGCAGGGATCCGCCCAGCTGCGTGACTGACAGCTGGCTCTGCCTATCTAGAGGCAGAGCCAGCTGTACCCGCTCCTCCCCCGTCCGTTCCGCCAGTCAGCGCTGGCAGATCGGAGCAGGGAGAGGGGAATCCAGCCCCTCCCCCTGTTACGGCAGAGAGCCGTGACAGGATTGAGAGGTGAGCGAACGCCGGTATGTGTTCGCTCACCTCCCGATCTACTGAGCCGACCTGTGACAGTCTCATTGTCACAGGTCGGCTAGAACTGTGAGGTGAGTGAAAAGCAACCACCTCATAGTTCTCCTTTAAATGAGAACTATGGGGGTAAGTGTTTTTCCCCATAGTTCTCCTAAGGGTCACGGGAAGACATAAACTAGTGTCCTCCCGTGACCCAAAGCTCAGTATATCACAAGCTACAGCTCCCGGTATACCAAGACTGCCGCAGCCGGAACGGATCCCGACATTACTGTCGAGATCCACCCAGCTGCGTGATTGACAGCTGGCTCTGCCTATCTAGAGGCAGAGCCAGCTGTACCCGCCCCCTCCCCCATCCGTTCCGCCAGTCAGCGCTGGAGGATTGGAGCAGGGAGGGGGGAATCCCTGCAGGAAACCGTGAGTGACAGTCACGCGTCTCTGCAGGGACAGGATCGAGAAATGAGCGAGTGACGGTATGTGTTCGCTCACTTCCCCATCTATTGAGCCGACATGCGACACTTTCATTGTCGCACGTTGGCTCGAACTATGAGGTTGAGTGAAAATCACTGACCTCATAGGTCTCCTTTTAAAGAGGAGTAACAAGTGCACAAGTAAGATTTGTAGGTAAAAATACCAAAAAAATCAAGTATTTAAATGCTTACTTGCAGTGTGTTTCCTTTAGAAAAATGTGTGTGACCTACAAAGTTTGGAGTCCACAGTGACCAACATTTTTCACCTAAAAAAAACCACACGCTGTCTGTTTGAGGCCTGCAACAGGCTAGAAATTGGAGATTTGTAGAATTCTTTGTTTATTCTCAATAGGGTTGCATTACACAAAGTGGCCCTTTACCTTTCACAAAAAATTACATCAGCATTGAACACTGCATGCTGACATGAAATCATCTTGCATTGATGAGTTGAATAAACTTATTTTTCTTTTACTTACAATTACAGTTTCCCCCCTTCCTGGTACTCTTAGGCATTAGTGATGTAGCCTGTGCCTAAGTGATGCATCCTGGGAAGGTTACATCACAATGCATTGCTGGGAAATCTTATCTGTAAACTGCATAAATTTGTGAGATCTCAGGGAAAGGTTCCTCTTTAAATATTCTATGTTTAGTCTGTTGCAAACAATGTTAGTTTTGGTGAATAGTGTTTTTTCCTTTCCATAAACAATTTTTTTATCTTGTAATGTGCCTTTTAACTTGCGTTAAAATTTGACAAGTCAATTCCTTAGAGCAGCTTTCTCTCATAGAGACTTGGTGCCCAACATGTAGGCCACATATGTCCTTCCAGTGTTCAAAGTGCACGCCCAGACCTGCGAAAAG